GGTGTTTGGGGGTATTGGGGGCCGCTATGGAGGTGTTGGTGGTGTTATTAGGTTTTTCTTTTTTTCTTTTTTTGCGAGGTGCCAACGACCCCTGACCGGTAGGTGCMGACCARCCGATYGGTCGGCGGGTCRGCAGCCGACCAGTYAATGGCTGCYGACYGTCGGGAGGTGCAACCCTGGCGCCAGCCAAAAAAGCAAAAAGGTGTGCCGCCGGCGATTCGGCAAAGCTTGGCGCGCGTTTGTTGTCAATGCGCAATTGGACACAGGGGGGCATTCAGAAGGTTTGGCATCTTCACCACTTCAAAATTTTCAGAATGTTCAACGTTTATCCAAAAGGGGCATTGAAGGTTTTCAGCACTTTATTGAAATGAGGTTTCAGAAAACTTTGAAATTGCTGAATCTTTTCCACTTCAGAATTACTTTCAGCAAAGATTCAGTGAGTCGTTGACCACTTGTGGTATTGTCTCCATTGTAGGTGCGGACTTGTGTACTTGACAATCTGCATTTCATCGAACTTCGGTTGTGTTACGTTTTTAGCAGTTATAGTTAATGGGATTGACATTCTTGTGAAGATAAATGAATGGGATTCAGTGACGGGGCTCGCTGGAAGTACTGGACTTAAGTCACACATTATTAGTGGTTGTGTTGTGATCAGGTGGGTGCCGGGAATGTGGTAGTGGATGGGAGTAAAAGGTCATGTAGATGAGAGTCAATTGTCCTTGATTGGAGTGAAGTGTGCAAGACTTGCTTGTGCGGCGTATTGTGTGTGAGATTGAGTGAGGACACTACAGCCATGCAGTGGTGGGGTGGTTCCACACCGTGTCATCTACATGGTTAAGGGTGTAGGTTCAATTCGATGCATGATCTGATGCCAGAAAGTACTGCTCAGGCGGAATTCCAACCTGAAACCTGACCTGAATGTGAGGTAAGTATGCCCTTTTGACACTTGCTTACAAAGCAAGTTATGATGCAGGATCAGGAGACAAGTCAACAGACTATCACACTCTAGACCTGCGGCCTATCCTAGGAAGAGAAGTGGTAGATCCTTGCCTTCTTCAGAGAGTAAGGAATGCTCCGGCTGAGAGCGAGCACAGCCGAAGCCGGGTAATGGCCCCAGTAATGGGTGTTTATATGCGATGCTGAACCTGCTTTCCAGCAGGTGTGGCTTCCCACCAATGGCCC